TATTTCAGTAACATATTTCAGAGAATTACAACTATGGAGCATCTACCAAGGTGTGAGGAATTTTTATTACTGGGGTCTGATTGTTGGAGCGCTTTGAAAAAAGGAATTTCACCTGTACTGGAATTTGGATGTTGTAAATCTGGGCAGGAATTGGTTCATCTTGAACTCCCAAACCCAATGTTGGTCTCTGTTTGGATCACACAGAAGACAGAAAGTAAAATGAGGGTACATTCAGAAAATTTACATGAATGGTCATTTTCTTAATTAAAGTGCAGCACCCTCTGTTTTCCTCATGATCCCATTATATTTGCAAAATATAGCCCCCCAGAAAGTTTTTAAATTTCATCTCTCCCTTCCACATAATGTCGGATATTCAGATTTAAACCATCTCAGTGGGGAATACCAGAATATGAAATTGCAACAAGTGGAAGAAAAAAAATGCTGTCAAAATAGATGCTCTTCGTTTATTTAAAAACCGACCTGCTTCTGTGGGCCACCAGGCATAGTCAATTTTCAGACGCCTCCAAAATCAAATCCTCTCCTTAGGACATAAAAATCCTTGCTTACAATGAAATTTATTTGGTTTAGCACCTTTTTTTTTAAAGCACTTTAAGACCATGTAAAAAATAGCCCGCAAATTTTATTGGCAATATTGGAAACTAGTGTTTGTAAAATGCTTAATTAAAGCCTGTAGTACGTTTCATGTGTGAGGTGCTGCAGGGCTTGTAGACGGTGAAGATCAGTTACTGGAAAATATTACTTGCTCTGAGTGAGAAATGAGATATTTTTTTCAAACCAACAAACAAAACAAAAACCAAGGACTTTTATCATAATGAAATGAATATATTACAACACAATCACTTTTGCCAAAGGTAGTGAAATTGCTCAATTTAAAGCTCTTGGCCAAATTGCAGTGGTGATTAATGTGTTTGCCATATGCACCTAAACTCTATTTTCTAACGACTTTGCAGCCATTCTTGGTTATTCAGCTACATATTTTGCATTTCTTTTTTTCTTTTGGAAATGCTGGCTAAACCCTTGAAAATCAGGATTTTGTGTGTGTGTGTGTGTGTGTGTGAATGCAGATTCATATCCTATTTCAGGTTTACACTCTTTCTTGAGGGTACCTTTCAACTTCTCTGTGGCCATTTGTTTCTGTAGCGTCTCAGCCGCAGAAACCGTATCGTCCATAGGGTGTTGATAGGTATCTAGCATCTATAGGGAGTCAGAATCGACTTGATGGCAGTGAGTTTGGGTTCAACTTCTGGCCAAGGGTTTAGTGCTTTGTAGCGTGAAGGGACAAGGCAGACTTACACATTTTGTAAAACGAGAGCTGCCATTCCGCTGCTTCACGCCCTTTTCTTGTGTGGTTTGTTCTGTAAATCTTCCCTCTGTATGCCCTTTCTCAGGCTCTCAGGCTAATCAAAAAGTACAAAAGCCTTATCTTTCAGATTTATGCCCAAAGGACTATGTTGGGAGCTGCTACTCCAGAGCCTATTTGCAGTTAGCTAGCAGGTCCCATCTTCCCTACATGGATCCTTGCTCTGCAGGCCCACGGCTATGCAGCCTGCTCACTCTCACTTGCTGGCATAGGGCATCTGGGCCAGGGTTTAAACCTACTTTTCATCGTTGGAGTTGACCATAATACATTGTGAGCTGACCGAATATCCTCCCACTTTTAGGTAGTGGTAATTTGCTAATTCCCCCTCTTGGAGACTTGCATGGCAGTCTTGACTTGAATGAGTGAGAGTGCCAATAATGTCTTATGTCTTGATGCAGCTTTGGCATTGTTCACATGTGATTTCCATGGAGAATCTGCCCAGCAAATGTGACTTAAATTGTGCTTCCAGCCTTGAAGGCAGATTAACCCTGCCTTCACCCTTAGGGCCTGACGGTAGCTGCCTCTCCACATCCCCTCCCAACACACCATGTGGGAGTCCTCATTATGACTCCGTTTTTTCCCATCCATTGTCACCTTGTCCCCAAATATTCCAGCTATTTGAATTGAGAGGACATTATTCTATTTCCTGAACTGGAAGAGAGAAGATTCTGTTTTACTTGTTTTGGGTTTTAATGAAAGCTTCCAACATGCAATCCCATAGAAATTATGTTTGGCTGTAATTGCAGCGGTCCCTCCATTAATCCAGGATATTCATTGGTTCAATGGTGACACTTGTATATATAACTTATGAACATATCTGTTGCATACTTATGACTTGGTATCGAAGACCCAATGTGTGCTGCCAGCTCAACTCAGCTAGCTCACTGCCAATGAGTCTATTCCAACTCCTAGTCACCTCCAAGACAGAGTAGAACTCCCACTGTGGGTTTCTCTAAGTAACTCTTTTACAGGAGTAGAAAGCCTCATCTTTCCCCTGTGGAGTGGTTGCTGGTTTTGAACTGCTGACCCTGCAGTTAGCAGCCCAACACATACCCTTAATTTATGTGGTGCTTTTGGAAGACCCTTCCATAAATTGGTGACAGCCTACACTGGAATTCAAGTCACTTGATTCTTCCTGTTTGCAGTAACTAGACACCAGAGGGAAGCAGCCCAAGAGTATTGGAGGGCAGGTAGGTGAGAAGCTGACCTGGGATGAAAATCCTGTTATGAAAAACCTGTTGTGTGTCCTCCAACACATTGTGTCCAGATAATGAAGATTTTAATAGACATGCATGTGGAAGCCCTGGCACCTGCAAGCACAGGGCAGATAAGAAACAATGGAGCTGAGCAAATGAAGGTTAAGGAGTGTGATCTCTTGGCCTTATAAATTCTTTTGATGCTTCTGTTGCAAACATGTTGTCACCTTCTGAGGAGAACCCTTTGATCTTGCCACTGAGGAAGGAGACAGTGGTCTAGAGGAGCCCTGCAAGATGAATTACCATGACCGGTTTTCACCTTAAAAGGAAGCCCTTAGATTTTTATCAAGTCCTAAGGGATCATCCCTCCTATACTTTCAACCAGGCTGATCTGAGGTGTGGGCGATCTGTTCTTATTGAAAAGAAAATATGTGCCAAAACAAAAGCAGAGTTGATTACAGGGGATACACAAACAAGGCTACACATCACCCAGAGAGGCAAGGCTAAGCTAAGTCCTATAAACACATCATCACCCCTTCATCTTGGGGATGTATGCTTCCATTCCACTCCATCTTCTCGTTTGTTTGCCTTTGAAGCTTTACTTGATTACCCCTGCTTGAGCGATGGCCAGTTGAGTGCAAGGGGAGAGCAGTGTTGCCCAAGGGACAGATCAAGGAATCATCCAAGGAGCTTGAAAAATATGTTTTGAGTTGAAGGACAATTAGAGTTGAAAAGGCAACTAATGTAATCAGATTGGGTTGGGGGCAGTGGCGAATGGCGCGTGATATTGTTCAAGCTGGGCATGTCCCTGCACAGGGGAGCCATTGCTGTTGGAGACTTTGAGTTGTAACACAGGCATGTTTATGTTTCAAATTAAGGAAGTCTGGGATGCCCTGGAGGAAGCACCTCCTTGTCTCTCTCTATAAGTTTCCAGGGATATGAAAGTCGTGTGCTTCATTCGTAGATTAATGTTTAGGTGGATAATCATTATCCAAATTGAAACAGATATTTTCCCGCCGTGTGTTTTGAGAAGAAAGTGATACTGGGAGAGGAGCAGAGAAATGCTTTGACCGACCAATCAGAGTATCAGAGTTCACAGAGCTTATTTTCCTCAGACCAAAAAAAAAAAAAACTCCTTAAAAAGGGTGGGCTTAAGTGGAGAGCAAATGTTTTGAGAATGATGAGGGCAATGAATGTACAAATGTGTTTTACACAATTGATGTATGTATGGATTGTGATAAGAGTTGTATGAGCTCCTAATAAAACGATTAAAAAAAGAGCTGTATGAGCCCCTAATAAAGTGATAAAAAGAAAGCAAAAAAAAAAGGGGGTGGGATTAACTTACCTTTCCAAAGATCTGTAACAAAAAAATCCAAATTAGAGTTAGAAATAAAGATTTCTGACTAGTTGGGAAATAAGGTTACTCCATGAAGCCATTATTTATCACCCCTTCCTGTGGGACTAATTCCATTGAAAATGGACCACGTTTTGAAAAGCAGAGACAGACCTAAAATATGCTTGTCAGCCCCTGGCTGTTTGCTCTTAAAGACAGTTGACTGAGCGGGGCTTCTGCAACCAAGCAAGCATCAGAGGTAACTTCCTTATGCTGCTCTCCAGAATGTACTGACCGGTGGGGGTGGGGTGGAATGCAAAGTCATTTTAATATTGGCCTAAGTCAAACAGGATTATAAAGGCAATTCGGTGGCTCAAGTTCCCATAAGGCATGTCAAAAGCAGGTTAAGTTATTTTTGGATTATCTGGTTTGGGATGGCATTATTCTTTTGTACTAGTGGAGTTGCTCAAGAGGTGACCCATGTATATTGTAAAGTCAACTTGAAATGGCACCCTTCTTTCCTTCATGTTTGGAAGCAATCAAGCGTTTACCCAATGCTACAGGAAAGAAGTTGTAGGGAAAGCTACAGAAACTTAAATAATCAAGATGTTAGTAGCGCTTCTGTCACCTCCAAAAAAATGTGAAGAAGAAACACAACTTAAATAAGAACAAATGTCCCTGATTTTTTGGCATCATATAGTGTTGAGGTTAAGTGTAGTATAGGACAGTAAGAAATTCCCTTTAAAGCACATGCAGTAGGCTGGTATTTAGTTCTGTAAATGTGTTTTCAGATGAAAATCAATTAGTAAACTACGTTCATGGAAATGCCTTTCTTTCCTCAAATCTCCATTAAAAACATCGAGTCCATGAAAGCCCATAGCTATCAAGTCCATTTTGCGTCATAGCGACGCTATAGGACAGAGTAAAACTGCCCTAGTGGGTTTCTGACACTTCCAATGACTCCTTAGATTTGAAGTGGTTGTGTAACGGGATGGAGGGGGGGCGGGGCGCACTTCGCACTCCAATACTCAAAGTAACGTTTGTTTGGTCCTTTTTTCTGACCTCTCTTTTCTCTTTTTCCCACTTCTAGTGTAATTGCCTTGCCAGAAAAACACGCATCAGAAGAAAAATGCTGTTTCCAGAATGTCCTCTTCATCTACTCCAGATCTACCTACGTGGGAAAATTCAGAGGCTTCTGAATAGAAAGCAACCCGAGTTTCAACAAAGCCCCACCCTTTGCTGCTGGCAGTTGGATGATCCAGTCCGCACAGATCATTCACATCGCTGCTTTCTGGATCCAGTGGCTGTTCACATTGTGCGTTAATTTCGTTTTCTTTTCTGGTTCCCCTCCCAATCTCTCGGTCTTTTGAAAAGAAACCAAGTGCTCTACAAGTGAGCTGCCCATAACTCGTTTTCCCCTTTTTCCCTTTTTAGAACTGACACACAAAAAAAGTTTTTCTAAGATATGGCCGATACTAATTCTAACCGTGGATGCTATCTCAATTGAAAAGTGAAACTGTTTAGAAAAGTGCAGCTAAAAAATGATATTGGTGAAAAAGTAGGTTAGATCTGGAATTTTCCCCCACCCTTTTCTGCTGAGTAGGTAGTACCTACACCAAGCATTTTTTGATCAAGGAAACTTTATGCCAACTGAACAGATACCTTGCCATGTGGAGTGTGTTCAGTATCATCAAGGTAGAACCAAAGGGCAGTGTTTGCTCATTAGCAAACCTGCAACATTCTATCTGCATCTGATGTCAGCTACATTGACAGCTGGAGAACATTTACAGCAGGCGTCCTCAAACTACAGCCCGGGAGCCACATGTGGCCCGCCAAGAACATTTCTCCTGCCTGCCAGGGGGTTTTGCCCCGTTTTGATTTTTTAACTTCAAAATAAGTGTGCAGTGTACATAGGAATTTGTTCAGTTTTTCTTTAAAAAACTATAGTCCGGCCCTCCAATGGGTCTGAGAGACAGTGAACTGGCCTCCTGTTTAAAAAGTTTGAGGACCCCTGATTTACAGCATTTGAAAGGCAGAACTGTGAACTAAAGCAAGGAACAGATGAACCGCTTGTTCCTATATAATATTATGATGTCTGCTTGCAAATCAATTGAACATTTCCAAACTAATTTTTTTGAGGGAGTGAGGGCGTGGAGCATACAATTTTCCCCTTAAAAAGGAGTAAGGCTCTTTTAAAATCTCCTGATAAGCTCCCCGTCCTGCCTCTCTGGGCCTCCCTTCCTCCTTTCCCTTTTCATCTGCCCCCTTTCTGACCCGCTCCCTAAACACACACTTTCCATCCTATACCCAGGACTCCTATAACCAGATCAGTTTCCCATAGCCAAGAACTTAGTGTACACACTGATCAAAAAAGATTCGGATGTAAACTGAAACCCAAAGAAAGGCTTGGTCTCTCTTTGAACAATAAGCCTCTATAAAATGTACAAAAAATACTTTAAAGGTCAGAGCAAGCCTCCCCTTTTCTTTTAAAAAAAATCATTTTATTGGGGGCTCATACAACTTTGCCTACCCTTCCTTTTGTTGCTTGCCTCTGATGGAAACTGAATTACGATTTTAGGAACCTGGACCTTTGAGAAATATGATACCAACAGGTGGTGACTACAGAGGATAAGTACCAAGGTCTTGAAACTTGCTTCGAGCTTTGTTACGTGGTGGCACACACATCTTGGCTTGTGGCCCCATCACTGGCAAACCTCATCATACCACAGATGGATGTGTTTGTGTAAGTGTGCAAATGCTGGTGTGTGTGTGTACATGCACATGCTTGTGTGAATGCACACCTTTGTGTACCTGTGTACATGTGATTGTAGATATACCCGCTGTGTGTAACTGTGAAAAAAAATTTGCTTCGCATTAAATGTGCCACTCTTGAAGACGTAACATGATAACTTACCTAAAAGATTTATGCCACTCGGTTTTGATCTCTTTGAGTATGTACTCCTGTCTTTGAGCAAGCTTATAGCACATGCTGTCGCTAAACTAACTGTTCTGAAGAACCGAGTTGACTTCTTTTTTTTTTTGCCTTTTCCCTCTTTCCTTCCCTACGAACCAAAGGGATTTGGGGTGGGGGTGGGGGGTTTTCTCTTCCCCTTCTGAGTGGTGCTGAAGGGAGGATGTAGCTACAGTATCAGGTGCTGCTCCGGTTACTGGTCACTGCTAGGGCATCACCTTCAGTTCCTCCAGAACCCTTAGCTTTCCAACCCAATTTCAAGTACTGCAGCGTGGCTTCTGTTCTTTATGATAACAATGCACTCTACAGGTGGTCTGTTTACAAGCCTTCTGTCACCATTTTATTTTCGAGTACGTTACGTCATAATCGTTCAGACTTGTGGAAAGAAAAGATCATGGGGGTGGGAGTGGGGGGAAGCTCTATCAAGTTAGTTTGGGATTTGGCTCAGAGACTGCCAGCAGACAGGGTACATAAAGCACAGATGTGAACACTCTGCTGAATACATGAACGGGAAACCTCATACACACACAAGTACAAATAACTAGTCACAGGTACAACTAGTCACAGGTACAGCATAATAAATATGCAATCATTTTACAGTACTTAGTTTACAGACTCAACTAATTTATTCAGTATTCATGCTGGAAGACTCTAGAATATGTGTGCTAACATATCACTTACCTTCCGGCCACCAGTTTATGCTGCTGTTAAGACAAATCAATGATGGAACGATTTTGTGTGTGTGTGTGTGTGTGTGTGTGTGTGTGTGTGTGTCCCCATCCTCTACATTTAGTTTGGTATCAGACTTAGTCCCTTGGTCAGTAAAAGCCTAAAGTTCCAAATTTGTTACATTTGCTATTTCTGCTTCCCAGATCTGCTTTGATTTGCTCTGTAAATACTCTTTACCTTTGTTGTTGTTGTTGTTAACATCTTGTTTGCAGTTTGGGGGGAGCTACCTTGCAACTCTGTATAGTGTTTATATATATATATATATATATCTGACTTGCCTTTCCATTACTGCTACTTGCAATAAATGTGATGCTCATGGAAAATCTGGGTGTCAGGCCTTATTTCGTCTACACACATACACCCTTCCTCCTGCTGTCTCTATTTCCTTAGAAATCGATTTTGCTGCTCTGTGATACAACTGACCACCATAGCAGGGCTTCAGAGGGAACCAGTTGCAATTGGTGAGGTCACCGCTGTTGAAACTATGGATCGGGGTCATGTAGCGGGCAGGAGGTCACAGGGGTGAGGTGGGGTGGGCTGGAAATTGGCAACAGTAAAAGTATTCTAACCTCACAATGGCCCCAAAGCAATCCAAAATCAAACACAGAATAAACACAAGGTATTTCTGGCATCCCTGGTGGCAAATTCATCTCAGGCCCAAAAGAGGTCCTGAGTGGAAAAAGTTTAACAAGCCCTAGAGCAGTGGTTCTCAACCTGTGGGTCGAAAACCCTTTGGGGATCAAATGACCCTTTCACAGGGGTTGCCCGATTCATAACAGTAGCAAAATTACAGTTATGAAGTAACAATGAAATGAATTTTATGGTTGAGGGGATCACCACCACATGAGGAACTGTAGTCAAGGGTCACGTCAAGGGTCAGGCATTAGGAAGGTTGAGAGCCACTGCCCTTAGAGGGTTTTGGTTACAATAACTCTACCTAGAAACACCTGGCTTTTCAATAGCCTTAATGATCCTCATAAGATCAACTCTTCTCCCCATTGTAGATCCGTTTGTAAAATGACTTAGCTGAGAGTTTGTGTTGGCTGATAATGTGTAAATACAATCTTGAATTAATCAGCCAAAGGAGGTTAAGTTAATTATTGACAATTCTCTTCCATCCTTCCCCTGGTCACCACTCTTGCCCTTTGAGTGACCCCTCCCTTTTAATGTCCTTGTTTTTAACCAATGGGAAGGCAAATACAAGTCCAACATGTCCTAATGAGCACACAAAACTTCTTTGGGGGTGCAGGGAAGCTTGGATGGAATAGAGAAGGATGGAGGAGTTGAGCATCAAGAAGTTAGTAGCAGATAATATTATCAGGTTTATCAAAACCCACTTAAGAAAATAATGACCTTCCTTAGTCTTCCCTTTCCTTTTGTTACACCTAAAGGCTGTGAGAATAAATAAGATTGGAAACAAAGCTTGATCAAGGATTCCCCCCACCCCTCAGAGAGTCTTAGAGGGTGAGGAGTAGCAGCATCGGAACCAGGTCTCAGGGTAGAAAATAAGTCTGAAAGCAGCTGCCTAATCCACAAGCTACATGGGTGTTTACATGCAGACAACCGAGTTGGTTAGGTAACTTGACTTCACTCGATAACCCTGACGAAATTGTGTATAAAACAATGTCACAATGGAAGGTGTCATTAGACTGCCATTATAATTCTAAGCAATCCATAAACTCACTGCCAACCTGACTCATGGTGACCCTAAAGGGCAGGGGAGAACTGCCCCTGTGGGTTTCTGAGACTGTAACTCTACACAGCATTTCTCAACCTGTGAGTCACGACCCCTTTGGGGGTCAAATGACCCTTTCACAGGGGTCGCCCAATTCAACACAGTAGCAAAATGACAGTGATAAAGTAGCAAGGAAAATCATTTTATGGTTGGGGGGGTCACCACAACATGAGGAACTGTATTAAAGAGTCGCAGCATTGGGAAGGTTGAGAACCACTGCTGTACAGAAATAGAAAGTCTCATTTGTCTCCCATGGAGTGACTCAATGCCTAATTGCTATGCCACCAGGGCTCTTAATTAACAATATATGCATGTATTAAGAACTAATTCTCATTTGAAGAAGGCAATCTAGATTTGTCAGGGCATAACCCATGGTCTGGTGGGGTTGACGCAGGACTGAGTGGCGTTTCATTCTATTGTGCATAAGGTTGCTGTGAGTTGGAGCTGATTTGACTGCACCTAACAGCAGCAACAACAACCCATAGCATTGGTTTGCTGCTAACTGCAAGGTCAGCAGTTCAAAACTACCAGTTGCTCCAAGGGAAAAAGATGAGGCTTTCTGTTCCCATAAAGATTTATAAGTTCACAAACTCGAAGGAGCAGTTTTACTCAGTCCTGTTGGGTAGCTATGAATCTGAATCAACTCAATGACAGTGACGTTTAAGGGTTTGAGTTTGAGAGTGGTACAGACAGTTAAGCACTGAAAGGCTGACAGTTTAAACTTACCCAGATGCTTCTGAGGGGACAAATACCGTAACTTGCTT